AAAAGAATCACGGTCAAGCATGTTCTGCTTGACTGCATTGATTTTTCCATCGCAAGGGAGAAATATTATGGTGTAAAAACAGTCAAGGACCTTTTTAGTCAAGTTAATTCTCATTTAGTATTGTGCTTTTTAAAGGAAATTGAATTATTGCATAAATTTTGATGTAAATGATATGTTTTTTTATATAGGTAGTGCTAATAAATAACTTAGATTGTTAGTGGCTGTACCCTCGAGGGGGGTTGAAGTAACGTAAACTTATTGTCCCCCTAAGAAGGTATGTAAGTCCCACGTCATTCAAAGTATTTTCTATGCATGCCAGACTTTTAAACGTAGCATTTTTGTCATCTTAATCTTTTGCTTAACTGGTCAATTATCCCCAGTGACTGTTGGGTAATATAAATCCTGCTGGAGTCCATGCAGGAAGCAAAGGTACTGTAAGCCCCCATGGTCTCTAGTATGGTGATCACCCTTCATCAGTGACTGACAATCTCTAGCACATTTTTACATTGTGTTGTTCTCTAATACTTATTATCTTTTAATATTCCCAACTAGTTTTAAATCAAATCTGTGATATTCTAGTTATTGTACTGTCCTTCGACGACAGGTTTTTATAAAGTCTACATATATGTGTTGTTTATGTATTACTTCTCGTCACAATATGGCTGAAATATTGCCGATGTGACGTTAAATATTAACTCCCCCACTCATTTAATAGATATTTCATATACAAGAAGGTAGTTGTGGAATCTTTGGTAAATACTTTAGAGACTTGTCAATCCCAACCATGGAAAGTAAATTTGACTGTTCTTTTGCTGATGAAATAATATGCTCACTCACACATATTGAAAACAACGAAACCTCTGATGCTGATAACAAAATAACTGCTAACTATCCATTGAACAGATCTTTCATTATAGCAGAGGTATTAAGTACAGTTAAAGGACTAAAAAACAATAAATTTCCAGGACCTGATGGGTTCGCAAAAGAACATATAAAGTATGTTGCGAGATCTTTTTTTATAGCATATGATGCTATTATTCAATGTTATCATTAAACATGAATACATACCCAAAGTTTATCATATTGGCGAAATCTAACCAGTACATAAGGGACGAGGGTAAAGTAAAAGTGACACAATTGGTGTAATATCACTACAAGGATACATTGATCAACAGAAGCTTTTGGTCACTGGTAAGCTATGCAATTCAAACCTATTGTATATTTTCAAGCAAATGTTTCTAGTCCGACTTGGATAGTTTAGATAAAAAGCAACACTAGTTAATAAGAACAAGTGAGACACGAAATCACCTATTTTTAGCATGCTACGTCTTGTCTCCAAATATTATTTGTCTGACGAGGTTAATGATTATATAATGTGTTCAAATTTCATCAAGAAACGATTGTGGTCAAAAGTGGTGAAAGGATTCACCTACGCTTCTGCACAGATTATCTCTATCTAAATACCTCACAATATGATCTGGACAAGAACATAGATTATGGAAACTTGCTCTCGATAGACCAGAATCTTTTACTTCGTTAGCTAGACTAGTTTGCTTAGGTTCAATGCCACTAGAATCAAAGTAATGTAAACGTGGAACAGTTGCGAATGATATGGTGAAACACGTTTTCATGTCATTAGAATTTAGAAGAAAGAAATATCATATTTGATAAAATCATTGATTTTCAAATATTTGTTAGAATCTGGACAGACGATTATACCTTTCTGTCTTTTCTGCTTGTAGGTTTACCTGAACAACTTGAAGATGAATTAGACTGCAATGTATGGGCAGAAAGCATGATAAATATTGCTGGGGCAGTTAAAAGGTGGGATGAAGTCATGCGAAGCTGCTTATACTAAACAATGTATATATTGTAAGCAAGTGTACACTTGTAAGTAGCACATGCTAATTGTCCATTTCATTACACCAAAAAGCAATGTGATACATATTTATATGGACCTCTTCTGGTGTATATGTGATATACATATGTGTGTGCACACTTATCCTATGGGTGTTGTCTTGAAATAGTGGAAATAAAGGAGATCTGTCTATTATTCCGCCCGTTAACTCGAATCAACAAGATGACGCCTCTCTTCCCGCCCTTTGCAAGTGCAACACAAACTTTGACAAATTCAGTGCCGATCCATGGGATTAGAGGGTCAGTGTCACAGCGAGATTTCGTTGTGGAACCAGATGGAGGCGAATATGTCTGTTCACACTTCTTTTGTCAAACATGCGTGGCACATCATAGGCAGTCGCTGTGAAGGAATGGTGCGGCCACCATGTTGCAGAAATTCGTCTATTCAAAAACAGTGCTACCAATACTTCTGGACTGTAGAAATCGTAGATACTCTGACTTGAAGAAACGGATATTAAACGTAGCAGCAGATGAAGAATTTGTGTAGACAAAACGGGAAATCCCAGATTGTATTTAAAAAAGTGTGCGCGAAGTGTATCCAAATCCACCGAGAAAAAAGTACATGGGACAAGTGTGAATCTAATGATCAAATTCAATTTTGTGTGTGACAATTCTGTGAAAGAAAAGGAAATCCATAATTCAAGTTTTCTTGGAATATGTGTATTGGAGTTTTCGTTTATCGTAAGTACAATATTATCTAGATAGGGCATATATAGGTAAAAGAATCTAGTATATTTTATAACTTATTTATCAGTTGTTTTTGTGCATTGTTATGTTGATACACGTGACATATTCGTACTTTATAGACAAGCTAAGAAATATTGGCGCAACTCCTGGTGCTTCAAATTAGGCCTCATCCTAAACACTAGATGAAAAATCTGTGTAATAATGTAAGTGTTATAAATATAATCTCATGATTGTGTGGTATAGGTCTTACTGTTGAATGCAAATGACCAAAACTAAACAAATATCTGTAATTTTTGGGTTGAACTGAAAGAATCTTGTCGCTAATACTTATGTAACTAACGTCAATTTCGTATTTATGTATCGTTACTGTTAACAGAAACTGTTGTTGTGCTGCTGTTCTGCCGTAAATATATACACCACAATACACTTTGAACACAAATGCATTGAATGTCTCACATGTAAACATGACCATGTGCTTTGCTATTAATAGCGCAACCCTATATAAGCTCCGCCCACTGTGAATGATGCAGACGTCAAACACGATCGATTCGATTTTTTATGATAAACCTACAGAACATTTATTCACTTTTATCTAGATATGGAGCCATTTGTGATATCCAAGGTTTGTCATTCAAGATGAAACGAAATTTGGCGGTCAATGGTTATTTCGTTTACGGGCGGTTTTCAAAAAAGCTTCTCCAGACACTAGGGGGTGTTTACATTGTCAGTCACTGTTCCAAATTGAAACACCGCCACCTTGCGGGCTATTCATACCTTCAATTGTCAAGACTGTCATTGAATGTGTCATTCATGGTCATGTCCTTCTCCAAATTTAGATCAGGTACTGCTCCTCTAAAGTTGGAAACAGGCAGAATATACGAATGTGAATGAAAGAGTGTGTTTTCAGTGCAAGGAAAGTATTGGGGATGAATGTCATGTATTGCTTGATTGTCCTGTGTACGACGATTTGCGTGAAAGTTTTAGCTGTCCCATCTTCCTAGAGTTATGTAATACTGATAAACTTATTTTACTTTTTACACATTATGTATATTTTACAGCCGAAAATCTGCTTTTTAATTCTTTTCATATTTTATATTGCTAAATATGGATAGTATATTTCACATACCCCTTTTACACAAATATATTTATGCTGTATATACTGTATTATGTGTTAAGTCTCTCGTAACCCTAAACGGGTGACTCACTTATATGTACTGTTATATGTATCTATGTAATTACTTTTGTGAGACGAGACTCAAATAAACAGTCTGCCTCCCTGTCTGTCTGTTTGTCTGTCTGTTTACCGGAGACTCCACAGGCAGGAACGCGCAAACAACATGCAGTAAAGAATAAAAGCCAAGTTAATTGGAAGCAGTAAGTGAAGGCTTTAAGGAAGAACAGCTTGCACACAGGTGAATAATACCTGCTCCGTGTGTGAATTCGGGTATGTCATGTATTGGCCGCCCTCTCAATAATATACCGCTTCATAATAATGCCGATGCGATGTTATTCATTCGCTCACACCGACAGGGGCGCCAGTTGCACTGTGCAACTGTACACGTCTCCTCTGCTCCCAGACTCCCAATCTTCTTTACTCTGATCCTCTTGTAGGGTTCGCGATACACCGGAGATGTCAACACAATATGTGTGCGTTTCAAGAACATTAAAACTCAAAAATATTGACACACTTGTACGTCACTTTAATTTATCAAGCTCGTGAATGTTTGCAGTTGGCTATGATGTAATACATTAAATTGAGAGGGTATATACATATATACCCTAAACCGAGCGTTTGTAGTGATGCGAGCATCGTGACATCATAAACGTTCAGAGTTTAGTCGTAATTACAACAATTTCGCACCATTAAAACCTACTATTGACTCTGGAGGGCACCAGAGTCTTTTTTTCCATACATTGCAGATGTCCACGGTTTTAAAAAACAGGATGTGTGCTGAATATAATATAATTATAGATCCGTTGATCAGGTTAGCAAACATTAGTGAGACGTCTAAATGTGTGTCTTACACATTTTACACTCCAGCTTAAGGACGAGGGAACAATACATTGTTAAAGTTCAATTAAACTGAAATCAAAAGATGTTTATATGAGACGCAACACCGACACATAGTCAGTTATGTACATTTTAACGTACATGTGTCCGATCTGTAAGAGCTTCCAGTGCTCAAAGAAAGGAATCTTTGTTGAAGAAATCGTAACTACCCACTTGCCTTGTTTATGTAACAGTTGCATTCCCCATACCTACATGTACCAAAACATATGAATAGAAACGATTGACAAGAAACGAACTTTTCCATGAATGACCTGAACTTCATATCACAATTAACGGGAGAACTATTGTAATTTTGCATCCTGCGTAGAAACAACAGACGAGGAAGTACCGTGAAATGTACTGTTTATTTCTGTGGAATAACAAACGATCACCGTGAGTACCTCAACACGTCATTAGAGTACAAAACACGACACATTTTGTAAATGCATTATACCTAGACGAGTGACATGCTGTACATTTAAAAGGGTACCTGTAGCATGCCGTGAACCATCAGGTGACTTTGCAAATCACAATAATTCCTGACATATACAACTATAATAAACATACTCATGACCACACAATGATTCTCAGTGGCAATAAGCTTTATCCATCTTCATACATGGTGGTCATACAAGTAGTACATATGTATATTGTGCTTTGGGGATTTTGGAATAATTCCATCCATTTTCATTTTGAAAACATGCCCTTGGATACAGAAAACTGTTTGTTATAGAAATGTTAACACAGGCCGAAAATCCGTTAAATTGTGTTACATTTCTAGCACATCATCACCTTGTAAGTATAAAGATACAAAGAAGAAGAATATATAGGAATAAAAAAATTCTGCCATTGACGGTTGTTTTCATCTTACAGGAATATGCAGGCAAGAACTGAAACGATCATTGAGGTCATCGCAACCTTAAGGTCATCTCCACCACTACCACCTGTCAAAATATAAAACATGCATCGTTTATGCTTCAAATAGTGAATTTGATATTTGAGTAGGGACATTTAGTATCAGCAGTACATAAGGTATATAGACATTTAGTGTCGGCCGTACATACATTATTCTGTTTCCAAATATGGACTTAATCAAATGCCGCAACTAAAGTTGCGTGATAAAAGAAAATTCTGCACTTGTATTGAATGGGTAACTTAAATCTGTCGTCAAATGCTTACAGTTTTTATTTACTTCGATTAAAGCGTGTTATTATACTTTTAAAATATATTGACTTGCTAATCTTAAATATAAACGTGAAGCGTTCAATCGACTTGCCACAGATAGTATATTAAATACCAGGTTAAGAGCTACAGATTACTGATTGAATAGATAGACTGTATATATGTTTACGAACATTGGAGGATAATAAGTAGCATGTAGAATAGTACACAGTTTTATTTCAGTTTGTTAACTACCTGATGCCATTGCTAGTAAGTAATGCGTCAGTGATGTGATGTTTTCCTTTTTTGAAAAAATACTACTTACAAGGGCTGATGGGAGTCCTGCTGCCTGTGTCAGTCACAAGAGCTGCCTGGGAGGTGCCAGTACACCCGACCTCGGTAGCGGTGGTGATCGCCAGGAGACAGGTATTCAGAGAGCCCATTAAGCTGTTGACAACAGGGGATAGTCAAATAGTAACACACAATATATTGTGTTTAAATCCTCCTATTTTTTCAGAACAATGTGGTAACTTAACATTTTGACATTTCCATCAGTTATAGTATGAATACTCGTACACGAAACTCTCTTCAAACATAAAAATGATACATTGCAATGTTATGGAGAATGTTTTAATACTTTAAAATGTCTGTTTATTTTCTTTTGGGAAACCAATCATGGTTCGTTAAGATCATACACACCGTTCATGTGTACATTTTACATGAAAATTGATTTCCGTGTTCTGTTTACTTGTTTGGAAATCATCATTAACACACCATTAGCTAACTAAATGAGAATTTTGTACATAGATAATTGCTCTACGAAAGTAATGTTCACGAAACAAATGCTCACTGCACATAGGTAGGAAGATTATTATTATGCACCTCAGGTTTTTTCACGTTATTTGTGTAGTAAATAATTTATGTTTATCCAACAATCAGTGACGTTTTCTTCCACTTCTCCAAGTCAAATATAAATGGTGCTATATTTCTCAAATGCATTGGAAGCCCGTTATCTCGAACTCGAATGTGTCGAATTCCCGATTTCGTTGAACTAACAGTCCTTCCCCATCACATTCTTGCTGTTTAACTGGATAAACGTATGTCAAATTTACCGCCACAAGAGTAACACTAACTTACAATTCACCTTCAAAGTTAGAATGTGTATCAAGCATAACAGCGGGAAACAAAAACAACAACAGGAAACTTTTGGTTAGAGTAGGTAAAGGCCCTGAGATTACATGTCCATGTTGGTGTTAAGTCTGTTACTCATTAATTGTAACGGACGCAGTTACCCACGACAGTCATGACCGACGTATAACGGTCACTAGATCTTTCATGTGCACAATGTAAGTCGAAGTATTGTTCCCGAGACAGCGTGTTTTCGGGTGTAGATACACTTGTTAATGTAAAATATTCTCTCCCTAAGATTGATATTGAGTAATTATCACTTACAAATTATGTGACATGACATTGACATTACACTTCTCACTTCTCACCCCTGAAGTCGCTTTGATTTATATGATTGCATAATTAAGTGTTTTTAAATATAACCAAACGGCATCAGCTTATGTCAAAAAATGTTTACAATACATCTATGATAAGGTCCATTCACTTACGTGCAATACTGTGTGTCAGAGGCAGTGTCTCCTTTTGCGGCGGTAATCTCACATTGACAGGTAGAAGTAGGGGCTGAAGCAAGTTTTAGAAATTAATCATTCGACTTAATCGTGGCGTATTGGTGTGCAATTGGTGTTCATACAATTTATTTCTTCTCATTGTTCTTATACATGGAAAGAAAAAAGAAACACATATATGAGGTTCACAATATTTTAAAAAGTTATTCCCAGACAATTGAGTAGTAACTCTCAATGGTGGATGGCTTTGTGATGTTTTTTCTGCCATAATTCATATGATCACGTACGTTTTAATATGCTGAATATGTCTAAGTTATATTGTCTTATTGGTCGAATTTTTAGTATTATGTTTCCTTGCTTGCACTAGATAGTAGTTAGAAAAGCTAGCAGTTGAAGAGTTCCTTACACTCAGAACATTACGCGGCTGTGCTTTTTAAAAATTGTCCAAATTAGGTCTTTTGTCTTTTGTTTTGTTTTTGAGTTAAAGGTTCAGTACACATTTGTCCTATACGTATGTATTTTGGGAGAAATATTGATTACCTGTGCAGTCACTTTGCAGATCAGCTCTTGCAGTGTCAGTAGCCGTTGCAATGGAGCTCTTGGTGGCGGTGACGTCACAGCCTGCAGATTTCGCGACTCTCAGGCAGCTCAGCTCATTGTTATAAGCACTAAAACACAACTTTGTACATTTCATTTCCAATCAATGTCTTTACGAGCCAAATATCCATATATTGTAAAAAACAATAAAACACAAATGCTCTGGATTACCCGATAAAGTTTGAGTAGGTCGAAAAATAAGTGCAATCAAGGTATTAAGATACGTATTTGCAGGGTGTAAATGAATTTGATAGGTTAATGCCATCAAGTGTTTGTGGTGGGGTGCTGATGCTTAAAACGTGACGTTTAGGGAACACCTCTGCGGTGTGACACAAGAGAACTAGTTTAGTGCTGATTAACCAAGAGTCATATTCGAAGCTAAAATTTGGGCCGACGGTGATAGGACTCTGCGGTACACCTCTGCATAGTGAATTGCGTCGTGTTAGGACAATATGTCACAGGCTACACGCTAAAGAAAATTGTCGATGTAACATGTAATGGAAACTTGTAGATGGAAAGACAGAACTAATTTTTATTTTATGCAACGGCACAACAGACAAAAAATCAATAGACATAAGGCAAATAATATACGTTACATTAACTTCTACAATGTCACTCATAAAGATAGTAAGAAAAAAATATCGTCTACTGCATTTCTCCTGCACCCACTAGCAGATAGAAAAGCTCATAATCTTATTGTCTTTCACATATAAAACACATACCAGCTAAAAGGGTAAAATCATTATGATGTTAAGATATTGCGTATGTCCCACTTGTATAACTATATTTCTTATTAGCTGTGTAAATGATGCATATGCCCATTTACGTTATTACATTGATTAATATGAAAACTCTTCTTAAAGCTCAAACTGCTGAACTCACGTGCATTTGTTGGCGTTTGAAGTAATAGTCGCTTTAGCAGTATTGATCTGACACTGACATGTGTCGGCGATAGCTAAACATAAAATAATATAATAATTATGAAAGTTATAACGATGACGTGGTCCTATAACATAGTGTACATTCCTCTTGTAAACGTAATGCAGTAAGTAATACAGAATTCCAGTCAAAACAATGTCAATAATTTATGTTAAAAACTTTTAGTTGGTTTGTTGTTTAACACTACACTCAGCAATATTCCAGTTATATGACGGCGGTCTGTGAATAATCGAGTCTGGACCAGACAATCCGATGATTGACATCATGAACATCGATCCAAGCAATTGTGATACGATGACACGCATCAACCAAGTCAGCGAGCCGGACCACGCGATCCCGTAAGTCGACTCTTACGACAAGCATAGTCGCCTTTTGCTGTAGAGCTATTCTTTCCAGGCTCTTCACGGTCCTCAAAACTTGTAGTATACTGTATGGTAAATGGAAGGCACGGCGCATTTATTCCTAAGATAAAACTGAATGATCAGATATCACTGGTGATGTGTAATGTTGTCAATACAATGCATACCACCAGTTATCAAAACAGTACTAAACTATGATATAGTTTTACATTTGCTTGGTCTAACGGGTCTTACAGCAGTTTCCTACATTACTTTAGCGATATCCTTTGTGCCTCAATGAGTAAATAATACAATGTAACTTCAAACTAGATATTTTTCCAAAACCATAAAGCGTAAAATCCATGTGTAGGATTACTTGTGTATGGATTACTTGCATTCAAATTACAAGAACTGGTTTGGAGCGTCACATAACGTAATCACAAATAAGTATGTTTTTGTGTTCGGCAATGTGACTCCTTGGTTTCGTGTGACTACATGGCAAAAGATGTAAGCAACTTTAGTGTGAGTTAATCAAGTTAAAAATTAAAGTCACATCAGTAATCATTCAGCGATATTGTGACTAGAAAAATTATACATTAATGATATATACTGATAGACAACAGAACTCGCTGCTTCAGGTCAAACGTTAGTGTTCCTTAGAATTTTATTATACAACTGACAAACGATCTTCTCAACACACACACACAACCATTCCAAAAACACTATGACCATACACAACACAATCAAGGTAACATTCCATACTTACAACTGTCAACTTTACCGATACAATTCACGCGCTATCATAACAACCCCAGAGCTTCCGGAATGAGAGTTATCGCCCTTACATCAATACACACACATATATATATATACAATATTAAAACCTGCCAACGAAGGCAATTAAAACATCTTGACTATCACAGACTTATTTTCAAAACTAATATTTAACAACAAAAAGGATATCCCCATACATAATAGTACAAAATATAACATCTCTTGAACAACTACAGCCTCTGCCAAAATCTTACTTCCAATTTATGAAATGTATTAATCAGCTCTATTTCTTTTAAAACAACAATCATTAAATGAGAACAAATATTATAAACTGATCCTTTGGGTGTTCTCCCAGCACAAGAGATACAAACTAGGGATCCTCACCTTTGAATACATATCATGTGTATACCTGGTATGGCCAATACGAAATCGTCGTATTTGACCACTTCAAATCTGGACTGACAACCAAAGTAGGTGTAACCGATAGTTGATTTTATTGTGTGTGATATATTTATACCTACATACAAATATGTCTCCCATTTCTATAAGATCTCTGATGTAACATGTATTCACAGGCTCAAGCCAAAAAGTTAGCTCGTTTGTAACATACCGCAGTCTGTTGTCCCAAGACCTGTCATCCTGGTTTCTACACCAGTAGCCAGAGTTGCTGGAGTAGCGGACGTATCACAGGCGACAGCTGTCTCCCCTTTCAAGCACAGTATGTAAGCCTTGGCGGCACTGTAAGTAAAGCAATGTTAACGTGACACCAGCTATATTTGATGAGATAATAAATCGAACAATATTTTGTCAATGTTTCTTGGTTTTGAATGCATTATACTGGTGAACCTATTATTTACATTTCATTTAGTTGCTTCTGTAACTAGATATATCTTAAAAACACTATGAAGAATGGTCATTTAAAAAAAAGTCATGAATTAATAACCCAAAACTGTCCATGGAACATGGGATGGGACGGGTAACAGCGATGGGACAGTATACGCTCACCTTTTGGCGAACACCTTGCATCATCACTATTTGATATTGATTAGTACACTTATCCGTATGATATAGTCAGAACCGTACAATGGATTCTGCTTTGAGTGGAGAATTCTGACGATTATTGAATAGGTTTTACCGCTTTTAATTATTAGACATTTGAATTGATTACCTGCAAATAGCTGCAGCATTTGCACTTTGGTCCGTCTTCCAGAACTCTTTCTGACATTTGCAGGTTGCTGTAAATTCCGTCGCTGTACAACAAAATACACACAGTAATAAACACAAATCCTTATCTTACATTAAATACTGGCTTCCGATTGGTTAAGGAGTGGGCAGATATTTTCCATCTGTGAGCAGGCTACACACTTCATGTATGCCGCTGAGACATGACAGCTTGGGTTACATAGGTTCACACAGGGTTCATCACATGCACACCATATACCCCTCGAGATAAGTTGACAACTTAAATTATCTCGGCAATATCAATCTCTCAACCCTCCGATATCGCCTCACTACTTCCGCCACCTCTCATGGCGATACTAAAACTTTAGACATATCAATTCTACGTAATACACGCATGTGTTTGTATTCTATCACAGTATGTCAACATACCCGTGCTACAAGAAGAGTAATCAGTCTCAATGACAGCGGCATCAGCAGTTGCTAGCGGACACCCGGTGTCAGTCTTCGCAGACGTCTCCAGACAGGTCAGATATGCCGCGAGTGCACTGTGAAAGGGAAAACAATCGGATACACACATGCAGGACACCGTCAATGACATAAGCAGCGTTGGTAAGTTGTTCGAGGTGATAAACACCATCTGGCATGAAATTGAGTGATTTCATTCGAGGACTGCACAAGTCAATTCCACACAAGGTAGGAAAGGTTGTGGTCATGAAATGGCGTCTACACGTTACGCAAAAGAGATTTTCAATGATATAGGGACTTTTTAAAGCTTATTTTACAACTAGTTTTGAATCGTACGAATATCACTGGAACGCGCCTGTACCCTGTCAACGGAAAAAGTAGAGCTTTAAAAATTCGTGATGTGTACACAACATTTCACGACGACATGTTGAACACTTTATGAGTTGTGAGCTAAGGCCAGGTTTACACAGTGCCGATTATGGCTCCCGTTTGAGATTAGACAGCGCTACGACACGAAAAGTGAAAAAGTCCGATTACTATCCTCAATGATCTGGTGTGTCCTATCATTGTCTGAACGAAGTAGTATACGTGCGTAACAGAGTCTTACGGATCGGGAAAGGTCGGGAAACTCGGATTACAATCGTGACTGTGTCGTGACAGATTCTGCTGTATCGGATACAAATCGTAACAATGTCCCGGGTTGTCTGGACGGTGGTATGTGGATCGGGACTCTATCGTGATGAACGGGCATTAATTGTTCATTGTCGTTTCTTGTGGAATGAGTCCAGATTGCGTCCAGATCTTTGCGTCCAGATCTTGCCGAATGCGAATCGTCTCTGTCGGTTCACTGTCCGGTCACTGTCTGATCTGTTTCGGATCGCATTCGGGAGAATCGGGACGCTGTCGGGACAGATTCGGTCGTTTTTTACCACGGGGAAGATACAAATCGTATCAGATTCGGACTGCGAACGGGACAGTCCGGACGAATTCGGCCGGAAACGGCTGAATCGGGACGCTTCCTGAACAATATCTGATTGTGAATTTCCCGCCACGAATCACTGCATCCTGGTCAGACTTTTGACAAATTGTAATCGGGAATGACACTATCGAGGACGGCAATAATAATCCTGAATGTGTGACTGAGCCCTTAGGAAACGATCCACACTCTCATTTGACCCGGTTTACAACCTGTTGCCCTTAAGCGGCTACATGTAACAAAAGCAAATCGTTAATAGCCAAATCAGCCAGTTCAGTGCAACAAAGTCTTGAACGGATTATGAGTTATGCTCCGGTAACGATTCCTGACGGAAGGAAAGGACCGTTTCAAAATTACCCGCAAAACGCCGTGATACATGGGTCAGCAATACTTAACTCAAAGGTGTGATTATTAATAACGTCGTTTAATTACCATAAAATATCCTTTTTTAAGATAGAAAATGAAGGATTGTAAATTATGATGTTGTGTTTAAAAAATAAGTTGCTCATCAAACGTATCCGAGAAGCATTAGAGAAATTAATAAGGTGCATTGGAGTAAATTACCCACCGACTGAACCTACTTACAACCCAGACAGCCAAACGTGACGTAGAGACACGACAGTTACTTACGTGCATTTCGCTGCACCTGTGGCGTCAGTAGCATCTCTTGCAGCCACATACGTAGTTTTACATGCAGTGCAGTCGGTTGCAAACGCGTTAGGGCTGTAACCTGAAAGAAACACATAAGATAATTTAGTCGTGAAAGGATGTCTAACAACCGTTTAAAATATGATTAATAAACAATTCCTACGAATGAACTCGAATCGGCATACACAGAACAGCCAACAGGAGCTATACTTTAATACTTTGCTGAAAATAGTACAATTCTCGATCGATATTTATGAATAGATTTTAAAAAGCTGTTGAATACTCCTAGAATGCTGTACAGATCAGTCATGAGGTAAACTGGCGCCTTTTGATCATGTTGGACTTGTGTTAATTGTATATTGTTTTTCAGTTTTCATAAAGACAGTGTGGAGTTTACTGAAAATGAGCATGGTAACACGTTGTCAGTGACTCAAAATTTTGCTTTGTGGTGGTTAACAATGCAACTACAATTTGTCGGATCAACTTTCCCTGTTTAAATCACAATTTGTGACATGCATTGAAGGCATATTGTAACAGTTGAGGTACATTTTCTATCAGTGTTCATTGTTGAAAATGTTTCAAGATGGCAGTATATATAACAAGCGACTTTCCAACATACTTACAGACTATTTGTTGTAAATAATTTACATTTTCCTCAAATACAAAACGTCTCCAAAAATCTATTAATCAGACTGGATTTCTAGTATTCACTATAGTAATAAAGTATACATCAATTTCACGGCTTGCCACGATTTATAATTCAAGTATGAAAAGAAAACAACTGGGAAATATTTTTGTTTAAAATTGAACATCGAATGTACAAGATCGAACACAGCTCGTCAAACCTGCCTATAATTGCTGGTGACACTAAAATTGGTCTGAATACTGTCACTTATATTATTCATAACTCAAGTTGATAACATGTTTAGTAACTCACGTAAATGTTAGATACCAAAGCAAATAAACAACTTACCCAGAAGAAGCACGATCACGCCAAATTTAAACATGACTGTAATGTTTGCATGAGAACAGTTTCTGCGTCTGGACGGGGATACACTGCGAATAAGATCAGTGCGTCCCCCTATTTGTAACGCCCGTCTCCATAGCACCGAAATGTTGTGTCACATGGCTTGAACATAACAGTAATATGATCTCGACAATTTCAATAAAAAACATTTGGACATGGGATGGAATTTGTGGGAGCTATAACCTCAAATATTTGCTGATATCAATTGATTAATAGGGTAAATGATTTTGACAATGTGTTAACGCCACAATGAATCTTAAAACCAAATTCAATAACATTAATCATGAAGCAACATATACAATAGTGTTTACAAACTATATTATGAAGAAACTGGGTGTTTCCAAAATAAATTGTTGGAGCAGGTCACATGCATACGTCGATCAGATGACGGCATACCAACGTGAAGAACATGCTATACAACCAAGGGCAACAGTGTCAACTACGAGGGAGACAGATCGCATGGAGATATGAGACAAAGACACGCAAGATGTCCACTGATAATAGTACCAGCAATGATTCCCAGCGGATCAGTGTCTCCATTAGTTCTTTTGAATCATAACACCAAGTCATAGACGAGTGCACATGTGTCTGTCACACCCCCAAAAACACCCAGATATTTGTAACTCGTTACAGGCAGGACTTGGCATGGCGCAACTTGCTGGTACATCTACAAAGAAGCCAACAACTCCACGTTATTGGGTGCGCCTGCCCTGCTTTTTCTGGTATCTGGTGAATGATTGAAATATTGTCGTGATGTTAGTGATGTAACAAACCACAAAAATAAAGTATACAGTGTCAAATAAGAAACGCAACATTGCTCACAAGTAACGGGTTTTAGTCTTGAATAGTTTTATAGTTAAAAAACCCATTCTGGTTTATAGTTGTGCAGGGTTTTCAATGTTGTTATTCTTCTATTTTCGATAAGATTCGAATGTGGATGGAGAATATCAGATCTTTTTCCAATGAAGTTATGACAACTTGCTTTTATTACCTCGGACTTGATGGTAAAATGCTTTTCATAATTATAAGAACTCTGCTAAAAGCAGAGTCCAGTGAAAAGTAACAAAGTAAAACAATCTTAATTTATGCTGTTGATTTTTTCGGGATAATGGTATTGTATAAAGGAACTACATAAGACTAAATCCTGCTGGGGAACCGTGCAGGTAGCAGAAGTATTGTAAGTCCCCGTGGTCCTTAGCATGGTGGCCTAACTTTGGTTGCTGGCGATGTATAGACATTTTTTTTATATTGTGTTATTAAATCATAGTTTATTCGTTTACATGCGGTCAAACTAGTTCTAAATAATCTAGTTATTTCTACTGTCCTTCGGCGACAGTTGTTATACTGTCTAAATGTATTTGTTGTTAATGGTTTGCTTTATCTCGTCACGATATGGCTGAAATATTGCCGATGTGACGTTGAGTCTAAACTCACATACTCACCCATAAGACTGAAATACACATAAAAGCTCTGTTGTGTTGTCTAAATAATCGTTTACAGTTGTGTAGCCTTTTCCGGCGTGTGTCTGCATCTGCCTTGTGGGTACACGTTGGCCGACAGGATTGATGTGGCACTGCAGTTCCGAACTAACTAGCGAGAGACTGGGGAAAGACTACAATATACTTTCTGTCCTAAATATCTGGCTGGAGACTGACTACAATACCATTTCGTAGTGCATGTACATGCGTAATTTGATGTCTGTTGTCGAAACTAAGCTACATATACTAATTACAGTTTTGCCCTTCATACCAAATCGATAACATCTAACATACCATGTGCTAATCTAAATGATACACGCTGTGCCTGAAACACGACTTTCCAATATTGGTAGAATAAATTGGATAACTAAGATTGTTAGTGGCTGTACCTCTAAGGGGGTTGAAGTAGTGTAAAAGGATTGTCCCCCGGAGATGGTAAGTAAGTCCATGTCATTCACAGTATATTTATTACTACCACGTTTTTAATCGCGAATATATGTTCTTTTAATTCGGCTAAATTGACAATAATCGCCAACACCTGGTTGGGGGCCATGCAGGAAGCTCAAGTACTGTAAGTCCCCTTCAGCTGCTGGCTATCTGTAGCTCTATTTTATAAGGTATTGTTCTGTATAGTAATGTATTTTTATGGTTCCACGCTAGTTTTTAATCATAATCTGTGATAAGTCTAGTTATTTTACTGTCCGTTGTTGACAGGTCTTTATAGTTTCCATGTATTTACTACATATACCCTTTGTAAGTCACGATATGGCTGAAATATTGCCGATGTGACTGAATTTTTTTATGTCACTCACTTACTAAAAAACGACTTTTTCAAAACTATTACACGTTTTACTATCTTACGTTTCCAATTAAATAATTAAATAATGTAGTTAAATGTGTTATAAGTTTCAAAGGTTTGAAGAGAATAATGGAATACGTATTCCTAATGGTATATTCTTACCTACCAAAAAAGCTCCCAAATTAACTCTACATGGATCCGAATCATGTACATTATCTTACATTATAAATCTGTCACATTTTGACTGAATACTGTTACAGAGAGTATATAGAAGATTTACACTTACTCATGAGTTTTTATTGTTTGATGATTCTCTAAACTTCGATGAAGCGAAATATAAATTGCACACAAGAAGAACAGGGGGACAAATACTTCTTGAATATTCAACAAGGTAGGAATCCCACGCTCATATGTTGGTTGGTTGGTTGGTTTGTTGTTTAACGCCGCACTCGGCTGAAGAATTTGGCTTTGGTTATAAAGATCAGTTCAATTATAATCTAGATGTTTTGTAGATAATGATCGCGAGGAGTCAAAATAACCATCCGCCTTGTCTCAGTAGACAGGACATCCTTACCCTTTTCGTGAATACCTGGTGTCATCATTGACTTCCAGTGATCCAGTGATATAATGTTCGTCTCTATTTTGCCTTTTACGCCCTGTGGCATTGCATAATCGAAACCGCGTCATATAGCTGGAATATTGCTGAGTGCGGCGTCAAACAAACAAACCAACCAACCAAGCATAATCGAAACTGTTTTTTTTCTCTGGCGTTCACCTTCGATATTTGTAATCAGTTGTTTCGCTTGACGTTAGGAAGTTAATGCAGATGTAAATGCTATGTCGATAGAAGTGGACGACACACGCTGTTGGTGTGCATCATATTACAGGTCGATACATTTCACGATTTCACCTCTGATTTACGACCCATTCAACATTTAGACGCAAGCAACGAGGGTTTCTGTTGAGATACAGCGTCACTACTTTATTCAGAGGGTGTGAATTATTGGTCACTTAGTGTGATGCTAAAACAGAATTAGGCATGCAGTAAAATTAAAATTGATATTACAATTAATATACTCTTCAAAACAAGAAACGCAAAACTGATATTTGTGGCCATAAAAGCAAAATTAGCGGACCAAGATGTGCAACATGAAGAGGTTTCATATGTTACAGTGTCAGTGACAAATTTCCCGGGTCAAAATGATCACAAGGACATGTAATACATTAGCCGGGAAACACCTACGATTCCGAAAAACGCACCCAGTGTATTAACACATTGGCCACGTATTGCACGTGCAGCAGCAATATGAACGGTAATAAAGAGCAGGGTTTTTGATTGCCTGGCATCTGCGTCAATCGATAAGTGACAGTTCAACAACATGCCAAGATTAACAGGCCGTCATAGGCCGCTTGCAGGCAGGGGAATCCCGATCAGCTGTAGCCAGAGTTTTCAATGTAGCGCCCAGCACCATCACAAGGCTATAGGATCGGTTGCAACAGCAACATGTGACCGGCCGACCGGGACGACCAAGAGTAACCTCCCCGCCCAAGATCACTACATCCGACTGCGCCACCTACGCGAAAGGACGACCACAGCCACCTCAACAGCATCCCAAATACCCTGTGTGCGCAGACTCTCAAACCAGACAAAACCGTTTAAGAGCAGCAGGTCTACGAGCAAGATGTCATGCTCGACGCGTCAAATTGAGCCGACAACATCGTCGTCAACACAGGGTATTGTCTCAGCTGCGATGGAGAGAAGTCTGGTTCAGCGACGAATCAAGATTTCTCCACCGTTGAGGGGATGGATGAGGACGGGTCTACATACGTCGGGAAGAACGTTAAGCTTGAAACTGCGTACAGGAAGAGGACAGGTTTCGTAGGGGTGGTTATCTCCCATCATGGCAGGACAGGTTTGGTCCATATCCAGGGCAATCATACGGCTCAAAGATACATCAACGAAATTCCCCAACCACACGTCCTCCCAATTGCAGCCAACGTGTATTCCAGCAGGACAACGCTCGACCGCATACAGCACGGGTCACACGAGCCTGTCTACAAAAACAACAACGTTGATGTTCTCCCCTGGCCCTCCAAATCCCCGGTTTTGAGCCCGACAGAGCACCTGTAGGATGAAATGTATAGACGGCGTCAACCACAACCAAAGACGTTGCAGCAGTTGGCCGCCCTCGATTCCAACGGGGGACGTACGCGTTATTGATGATACCTGACCTTCACTTTGGACTGTTCCTATATGCCGATAACTGAGATGACTACGATCACCAAGTGTTCTCTCCACAATATTTTGGCTTAACCTTTTACAGTTCCTCGTATAAATGTATTTTCCTACCTCACACTAATCTGGCTTTGCTTTTCTCTTTTTGAAGAGTATATTATCTGAAAATGTCACTTGGAAAATCACAAACTTAATACCACGCTTGTTGTCAATGGCGTGGGTCAAATGAATACCAACACATTCGCAGATTAGGTGTTGTCCCCCTAAGATCTTTTCCCCCTATTCAGAAAAAAAGAATGTTGTTTGTTTGTTTAACGCCGCACTCAGCAATATTTCAGCTATACGACGGCGGTCTGGAAATAATCGATTCTGGACCAGACAATCCAAGTATTGATATCATGAGCATCGATCTACGCAATTGAGATAAGATGACATGCATCAACCATGTCACCGAGTCTGATCACCCGATCCTGTTAGTCGCCTTTTGTGCTGTTACTGTGTCAAATGACACCATTCGGGTGATGTCAGGCACGCAGTCGTCCGTCCTGTCAGCTGGCGATCTATGTCCTGGACG